AATTTAGGCCGAGTAATTTAATCTTGTGATGTGATGACCACGAAAATATCACGGGGTACTTATTCTTCAATCTTCCCACCTTCGGTTGGTGCATGATAGTTTACAGAAAATTCATTTTTCTTAAGATCAAGTATAATGTTTTTAGGTGCCTCAAATTGAGTAACTACAGAATTTGAATTTGCAGTAATGCTATCAAATTCATCTTTATCACCTATAGATTGTGCAAAAGCGTGAAATACTGCACTTTCTGGTGAATTATGTATTTTGCGTATCTTAGCAAGAGATAGTTCCAGTTTAACTATTGGAGAATTATTTGTTGGCTCTATTAATTTGCTTTTATATTGTTTTGTCTTGTTATTTAAAACACCTAATATATAATTTTTTATTTTTGAATCAAAAGCACATGAAATTAATATGTCATCACCTTTCATTGTATTTAGTTTAATTAATATTTGAATATTCTTTAGAGGTAATACACGCTTCATAGTTTTAATTGAGTTTCCTGCAAAACTAGTAATTGTTTGGCAATTTGATGAAATTGCATACACTCTAGCTTGGTAATTCCCATTTTCTTCAAATTTGATATCATCACAAGTAAAATCATAACTTTTTGAAGCGATTCCTTTAATTAAAGATGATTCAGCTACTAAACTTTCATTTGATAGTTGTATATTACATAAATTAAATTTGTATCTTTTAAAATTTTTTTGTCATCTCATCAGAAAGTATAATTGGTATATAAGAAACACAGAGTTTGTTCGAAACCTTTTCCATCTCAACATTTGTAGGTCTTGAAAGTTGTTTAAAACCTTTATCTACATATGTTACTGGTCCGTCAAAAAATCCTTTCCCATATACTGTCTGAATTGTACAAATATATGTAATAATTAGATTATCATAATTCTTTATTTGCTTGTCAAATTTCTGTATATCATATTCAATAAAAGTTTCTGGGATTCTTTTAAGCTCCAAATGTTGACCAAAAGCAAGTAAAAATACTTCATATTTAGAAGCATTTTCAACTGGATTCCATGAAATTTTTGACACATTATTACTAATATTATATGATCCTTTGATATTATTCATGTGAGACAGAAATTTAAAAGATTTCTTAGATAATGTATAACTTGAGTCCATATAGTTAGTTTTCCCTTTTGCAACTTTCTTTACACAAATGTTATGATTTTTGGTCAGTTATTTCATAATATTTCTTATTTCATCTAATATTAAGTTTGGTATATTTATTGATACTTTATTAATTGGTAAAGAATAAATGATGTCCTCATCAATTACAACCTGGTATGTATATCCAAGCAATCGTTATTGGTCTTTTGTATCATTTTTATCATTTACTGATATTTTAAGATGCTCAGGACTAGTTTCATAAAGTGCTCAAAATCTACAGATATAGGAGGAGGCAATTGTGAAATTGTTTCATTAGAATATTTAACTTCCCTCTTTTCTAATTAGCTGCCCTTGCTGATACATATACTTTATATTCACCACCAGGACCATTTATTAATTTTTTTGCTGTATTGAACTTCCATAAAGTACTTTCTAACATGTCCATTTTAATAATTTGTTTATAAAATGCACCTTTATCATTATAAGTGTTTTTATTATTGATTAATTCCAACAGTATTGTTGAGTATCCTCATTATCTGAAGTTATTTCAGTAATGAGAATTTTATTATATGCATTATATGTAGAATTTAATTTGATTGGAGGGCTTAATTTAGGTTTATGCTCGATTATTCCTTCCTTTGATTGTGAACCTAAGTAGTTTTGATTATTATATTAAAGCATTGCAATAATTTTGACTGAAACTTTTTTACACTTCATTAGTATATTATCTTTTAATACAAATGATAATTCTGAATTATCAATTTCTACTTCTTTTCTATTGTTTCTTTTCTAAAAATATTGATATTTAATTTATAATGAATTTCCCTAGCTAATTTATCAATTTCTGCCTTTATAGAAATATTCCACTTGATTTTTAAAGAGATGTCTAGATCAAATTCCAACTCTGGAGTTGAATAATCCATGTTTAAAAATCTTGCTACCGCAATTTTTATTCTTTTTCTATTTCTTCCATTTTGCTTTTTTCCTTTTTAATTTCTTTTTCTTCATTAAATTGGTCACTGTAGAGATATTTTAAATCTACTATTAGTAAGTTGATAGCAATATTAAAATATCCAAACCATTCTCCAGTTATTAAAAGCTGTGGACTAGCTAACTTTATTGCACTACTTAATGTTTGTACTTTTTCAACTACTAAAATTTCCTCTTCTGTAGGAGGTTTATTTTCAGGTTGCTTATTGCCTAAAATTTTTTTGACTCATTTCTTCATTGCATTTAAGGCATCCTTTTCTAATTTATTTATTTCATGTTACAGATTAAACCGAAATCTGCTCAAAACAAATTTTTTTGTTTTTTTAAGGAAAATTTAAAAATTTTTGTGAAACATTTTTTTGGAGTTCTTTTTGGTATTAGAGGTAGGGTTTAGAGTTAGGTTTATTAATAAATGAGTATATGTGGGTTTTATAGGCTCTAAGAGTGGGCATAAGAGGTCCTTAGTTTAATTTTGATCAGATTTCATTCGATTTCTTTGAGATATATTTCACTTATTCCAAATGGATTACTAATAGATTGTGGTGTAATATTAACGAATTTTATTTACATTTTTCTTATAATTTTTCTTAAATTTTATTATATATTTTATATGTTTATTATATATTTTATCATTTTATTAGTT